CATTGCCATGGAGCGCTTTAAAAGTTGTTACTAACACCTTGAAGCGCACCCGGAAGGCCACCGGCAGCCAGTGCAGCTCGCGCAGGAGAGGTGTTACATGGGAGCATCTAGAGGCCCCCAAAATCCCCCACGCAGCCGCATTCTGAACTAGCTGGAGCCTCCAGGTGCACCTCAAGGGGAGCCCCATGTAGAGAGCATTTCAATAGTCCATGTGGTAATAACAATGTTCTGTTGTTCCACAGCAATTTTGTGCCCCTCCCAGAGCCATTGACAATGCCAAGAGGACATTGTGAAGGTTCTACCATACTTCAGAAGCATTTGGACTGTGGGCATAGAAACATATATAGTGTTTGAAAGCTTCAGCTCTTTGGAAGTTTTCTAATGTTGCCATCAAATGGTTATTTTTAATCTGAAGGAGACCATTATTAAATACCTGGGGAGTGTTTAAGACAGGGGTAGTCAACCTTGGCTCTTTTATGACTCGTGGACTTCAATTCCCAGAATTCCTCAGCCAGCTTAGCTGGCTCAGGAATTCTGGGAGTTGAAGTCCACGAGTCATAAAAGAGCCAAGGTTGACTACCCCTGGTTTAAGATTTCAGACGTGGTTTGCCATTGCCTCCTTTATAGATCTGAGAGAGGGAGTGAGTGGCTGAAGGTCACCCAGCTGGTTTCATGCCTGAGGTTGGACTAGAACTCATGGTCTCCAGGTTTCTAGCCTGGTGCCTTAACCCACAGTACCAAACTGGCTCTACATGTGGAGTAGTCCTGTGTAAAGGCTTCTTTGAGATGACTACAGAGAAAACATCCTTGGCAGCAATGCAGAAGTGGCTTGCATCGTATGCATTTTTAAAAATTATTTAAATGCTGATTAAATTTAAATATACTCTTACATTGAAATAAATGGCTGTCCTACTCTCTAGGTGTGGCCTGTGGGATACCATTCAAAAACAAACATGTGGTTCTTAGTCCACAAAGCTCACTCTGATGCACAAATGCCATAGGTCATCCTTGACCTCATTCCAAAGTGGATGTGATTCCTACTGTGAACAAAACTATCACCTCTCCCTTCACATTAGATTTATTCAAAGCCTTGAATGATGCAACTGCATCTACTCATTTGTCCCAATGCATTAGGAATAAAGACTGTTTAGAAACAAGAAGTCATGTTAAACATCAGAAGTATCATGAAACAAAGGCCTTCAGATAAGAAGGCAACGGCAATTATATCTGTTTAATTTCTGAGTAAAGAATATGGACATGTTCATATAAGTCAACAGGATTTGAACTTGACTTAAGAGACACTTAATTTATGGAGACTAATGAAACTATTAGTTCATACAATAATATGGAAAAGGAGCTCATATTCATGGGGTGTTCTAATCAAAAGCGGGAGGCATCTGTCAGTTCTCCTTGCAAGAATTAAGTAGGGCTGCTCATTTTTACAAAAGACCTTCTTAATATCTTATGATATCTCCACTTATTCTCTTGCCCTTTCCCAAACCATGTTTCCCAATGCATATAATTGCCCTTCAGAGACAGTTAATTAATGATTTGATTTGGAGTTTATTTATCTGTTATTTGTTCACTGCATTTAAAATGAACTGGATATTCATTTCACTGGGACCATGCGTCCTTAAATCCTGCTCATTTTGCATTGGTTGGTGACTAATAAAGAACTGAACTCAGCTATTCATTATTGCTTTGTATACGCAGGTCGGGGAATAGAAGGACTCAAGACAATAATAATCTTAATTATGTGATGGATGCAGAACTGACTCCTTGTAATATATAAATGGAAGATTGTCCAAATTCCACTCCTTACTTGTAATTCTTTTCCTGTGTGGGAAGACCCCAAGAGATGTTCAAAGAATGTATTTCTTTCACTGGAATAACTGAAACAGGATAAAGAGGTTAATATCATATATTCAAAATTTGAAAAATTGGGTAAGAAGAATAGGAAAGGCTGTGGAGGAAATAAATGGTGGTCAGGGCATCAAGAGTCTTTGGAGACCTTTTACTTCCTAAGAAGAACATTATGACAAGGTTAAGACCAAGCCTTACATCTGTTAGACAATGAAGACCTCCAAGGAATTTGTTTTGCTCTATTAACTATTGAAGTTGTACATCCTTGATTTATTTATTGGCCATGCACCAGCTGCTTTTAAATTAGGACATCACCAAAGACTTGATCTGAAGAGGGTATAACATTTTGGTTGACTACTGAACTTAAAAAATTTGTTTCATTTTTTTCCCCTTCACACCTGCCTTTTTTCTTTTTCTACGTAGTTTGCTTAAGGCCGGATTCATCTCTGTTTTCAAATGGCTATAAATACTACAGGAGATAGGATAAAATATAAATCACGTAACTAAATATTTCAAGTTCTTCTAAAAAGTACCAATGTATTCATTTGTAAAATAACAGCAACATGTCTCACTTCCCCTAAACCAGGGTATCTATAACCTAAGTCCAAGAGATATGCATGTTCTCCAAACTCTGAGTGTAGCTTCCAGAGTGACTTGAAAAGTTACCCCCACATTGTTATTTGTGGTGGACAGAAGGTGAACTTTGTAGATCCATGTACTGTAACACTTTTGCTTTGTAAGCTGTTCTGGTTACCACTTGGTTTCCTGGTGCAATACAAAATGCTAGTTATCAGTTATAAAACCCTTTATGGCATAGGGTTAGGCTATCTCAAGCACTGCATCTCTCTTATTATTTCTACCCATCCTGTATGATTTAACAGAGGAACATGCTTCATATTTCATCCATTAAGCTATGCCATCTGATGGATGCCAGGATGCATGCCTTTTTTATCACAAGGTTTGCCCATTAATATACTGACTCTAAGATTTGGATTGTCCCAAATCTTCAGGTCTTTAAACATTATTTTAAAAGTTAACTTTTCCACTAATTACTGGGATAAATCAGTGATGCATCCATTATATATATATTTATATATATATTTACTATATATTTATATATATAGTAAAACAATAAAAGTGAACACCAGGGAAAATTAAAATAATTAAAAGTTTTAATAAAACATTAAAAATTTTAAAAAGATTTTAAAATGCTATAACAGACCTAGCTTTCGTTGGAATCTACCAACATCATCAGGGTACAAATGACTAAATGGGAGAAAATACTTTTATACACCAGCCAATGCCTGCGCGCGACTCCTGGATCTAGTAATTGGTCCCAGCCGATCAAACGTTNACTATCTAACCCTGCAATGGGGGAAGGCGGAGGCATCCTGCCATCACTTACATCGTTCGGCTCTACTGCCAACCCAGCTCCCCAGGATCTATTATTAACACAGTTACAAGTGTGCTCTATCTTCCCCTTTTTCATGGCTCTCAAATCGTAGCTGTGGTTGGGGCGTGCATCCCGGAGCCTGAACTCAGCCATGCCAGCTACCTTCAAGGGTGAACACCTCCGTATTTCCTTGTCCCAGTGTTTTTTCTCCTCCTCCTTCACTGGTATCAGTGAAATGGAAGGAAAGAACACAGTGGAGGTTGTGAGTGGGTGCAGGATCCCTAGGACTGGTATCAGTGAAATGAAAGGAAAGAACACAGTGGAGGTTGTGAGTGGCTGCAGGATCCCTAGGACTGGTATCAGTGAAATGAAAGGAAAGAACACAGTGGAGGTTGTGAGTGGGTGCAGGATCCCTAGGACTGGTATCAGTGAAATGAAAGGAAAGAACACAGTGGAGGTTGTGAGTGGGTGCAGGATCCCTAGGACTGGTATCAGTGAAATGGAAGGAAAGAACACAGTGGAGGTTGTGAGTGGATGCAGGATCCCTAGGACTGGACCTCACCGAAGGGAAAGTGGGGGTAGTCATGATAAACATCAAAGGGGTGGAGATGGAATGGCCCCCAAGGATCATGAAAGGGTGAATCAGCCCAAGGATGGGAGGCATGTTCCAGCCTGGGAAAGTAGAGGATGCCCACCTGAGATACAGACACAAAAAAGGAGGGAGGAGGGCGGCAACACAGATGTAGGTAAAGGAGGTAAGGAAGAATTAACTCGGTTTGCAGATGAGGCCAGGATTGGCCAGCCGGGACCTGTCACGAGATCTAGGAGCCATGCGCAGACGTGACTGTATTTATAAGCAAGCTCTCCCAGCATCCTGATTATACCCTGACGATGATGGCAGTTTTAGGCCATCGAAAGCTTGGTTTTATTTATTAAAACTGTATTGTTTTATACTTCCTGGTGATCACTTTGTTGTCTTTTAAATATATATGAATGCCTTTTTTTTTTCTTTTAGAGCACCCTGTCGGCCCAAATATGGGAAAGAGAAGACTTCTCTTTCCCATATTTGGGCTGACAGGATGCTCTAAAAGAAAAAAAAAAGGCATTCATTCTCTTCCCCTGTCTCTTGTAGCTAACAAAGTGAGAAAGAGCCTGTGGCCTAGTGGCTAACACCTCTGCTTAACATGCAGACAGCCCAGGTTCGAATCTCAGAAGGGTATGTCTGGCTGATGAAAACCAAATAAGGTTTGAAATAGCTATCCCAGTACTCCCTTAATTCTTTGTTAGCAATT